ATACGGCTCTCCCCACGCCCCCAACCCGGGGACTTGCACAGCCGGGGAAAGGACTGAATCCTCGCGATTGCGTTTGTTTTTTTGCAACACTGAGTGGCAGGGTGCAGCGGGCACCTGGAAGGCAGGGGGCGTGGGGCTGAGCGGAGGGTGCCAGGGCCACGCCTGGGTCTTCCGGGCGTTTCCCCGGTCAGTTCCGGATCCTACGGACCTCGGTCTCCTCCTCTGTTAAACGAGTGTTACGATGACTCCCACGTCCCAGGGCCGTCCTCGGCGGTCAAAGAGACCCTTCGCTGAGAATCTGGCGAGGGTAGCTGTCCTTGGTGTGTGAACGAAAGAGAGGAGGAAAAGGTTTAAAACACTGAAATGAAATGATGCGTACGCGGCAGGCAGAGAAAGGCCCGGTTAACACTGCGGTTCAGGTTTTGAACAGCCCGCCTGCCCTGGACCCTCCTGGAAGCCCGAGCGAGTGTGTCCTGCTGGGCGCTTTCCCGCCCTGGGCTTCTCCGTGGCTGCCCTCCTGGTCCGGTCAGGGGCCCCGGGCCCTGGCGCCTCCCTCGGCACCTCTTCTGATTTTGATCCTCGCGCTCCACGAGCGAATGCTCGGTTTCCTTGCCTTGACGATGCTGCGACTCCCTCCTACGCGTGGCGGCTGCAGAAGTGCTTTCTCCCCGCAGTTCAGCATGGCCGCCCGCAGTGCTGCGCGGGCGCAACGTTGAGTACCTCTTGGTGGCCCCCCGCACCCCGCACCGTGGCTGCTCCAGGAGCAAGCAGGCGGCCCGGGGGCTCTTTAAAGCACGTTTTACGGGCGTTGCGAGGCCCTTCGCGCTGCTCCGTGGAGCAGAGCCTTGTCCTGCCTGCATTTCTGCTGCTGCCTCGGCCGAGCGCTCCTCCAAAGGCAGCCGTAAAGCAGCAGGACGCGAGAGGCGCAGCCCCCCGAGCGCAGTCGGGGTCTGTGACAGTGGCCGGCGTGGCCGGACTTGCCCCTGAGCCCGGGACAGCGCGGGCAGGTCACCGTTGTGCTTTATGGGAATTTTCCCAGACATTGTAGGATTTGGGGCCGTCTCGGGGAACAATCTCACACGAAGCTGGGTTCTCCTGAGCGAGAGTGGGTGGGACGAGAACAGAAACCGGGGCTTCTCTCGGGCCCCTCCGTCTAGGAGACGGAACGTGGAGGCCGTGAAGGCTCGCAGAGCCCAGAACATTTCCTCGGAGGCCCCTACGGCCCCTCACTCTGACCCGGCCTCCCAACGATCGGAATCACGCTGTGTGTCTCGCTGGCAGGAGGGACCGTGGAAATCAGGTTGGATGCTCAGAACAGACCTCGTCAGAGCAGATTCGCGGGAGACGGTGCCTCGTTGAAAAGGCAGAATTAGGCCTCGTCTGTGTTCTGTGTGCTACTAAGCAGTTTTAAAATCAGAGTTCTTCATTCAAGACCTGAAAACGCGGCCCATTTTGCCTGACTGCGTTTTGACAGCTCACAGGGCTTGCGCGGCTTCTGCGAGAGGCTGACATCCTCGCGTGTCGGCTAACTCGAGCCTCGCTGTAATCATAAAAGGCACGGAGACGTTGCGGTGCAAGCGGATGCCGCGTGAGTGGCAGCGAGCATGATGCCTTGACCTGCCGGCGGTGCCACCCGCAGGTGCGGCGGCCCAGTGAGCAGCGAGCCAGACAGGCTTGCCGGAGCCCAGCGCGGCCAGGTGACGTCGAGGGTCCCCGCCCAGAGCTTGCTAATTTCGCAGAATCTTTCCATCATTCATTACTCCTTTGCGGCAGTTTTTGGTTTCGTGACCATTAAAAAGTAATGTCAGTTTAATGGGGCCCTTCAATAATAACAGTAAAAAAGAAAACCGTAAAATTCTCCCTTGTTATTACTTCTGGAAATAGAAACGAGTTCAATGCATTGGTTTTTTTTGTTTTAAACACAGTGTGTGAGCCCGACTCTCACTGAGGACGAGTTCAAGGGTGGTAACCTCAAGACAAAAAGGACTCCCAGGCCAAGGCAGCGGTTCACGCCAATAGCGCCGTTCTAGGAAGGCTTATGGAGTTTTTCTGTGGCCGAGGAGGGAAGGGAGAGTTGTTTTGTGTTTGTTAGTTGTGTTTTTAAATGAAAAATCCTGCATAAGAAACGTACAAGGCAGGCCAGGCCCTACGTTAGAACACCAGGAGCGAGAGCTGCTGGGTGCGGGGCGAGGGGGCGGGGGCGGGGGTGCCGCTGGGTGCGGACCGCGTGCGTCCCGCTGAGGGACTCTGCGCGCTGGAGGGAGAGTGTACGTCCGAGTTCCTGACCGTATGTACCAGAACTAGGGCATCTAGTTTTCGGAGCTCTTTCACTTTTCATGGATAGCAAGCAAAGTGGGCACAGAGAATACTAACTTGGGAAATACAATTTTAAGAGATCACCAGTGTGGATGCTTCCCATGGAATCATTAACCTACAAAACATGTTATTGGAACTAAAACGTGCTATTTAACGTGCGTCTGTAGATCTGAGTGTGCGAACTTGGTATCGGTGGGAGAGAAGGGCGACCATGCGCCCCAGTCCCTTGGTTTCCCATAAGCACAGCCCGGACCACGCGCCGAGCACGTGCCCTGTCGCAGGCCGGTCCCAGGGAAATGACCCAGCCCTGCCGGCCCTGCCAGGCGGACGTGCTGGCTGCAGCTTCGGTCTCCTCGCTCGATCGCCCGACGCTCCCCCACCCGTCTCCCTGAGAAATTCGAAGCTACCGCCCAGAACGAGGTCATCCAGCGAGCGCACGGCCTGCAGCCCACCCTGCGTCCGCCCAGCCCCCCCCATCCCGGCCCCCCTTCCTCACGGAGCAGCCCCCAGCGGAGCGCGGACCTGGCTGCTAGGCCTTCAGGGACGCCCCCCTCGTCTGGGCCCTGAGTTGCCCGTCTCTTTCTCCACGTGGTCCAGTGCGCGCCCCTCACCCCAACCCCTGGGCTCTTCCTGGACCGTCCCTCCATTCCCAGCCACGCTCCTGTCTACACCCGCTGCTCCTCTCCCCTCGGGTCCCTTCCGCGCCGTCCTCGGAAACCCACCTCACGGCCACATGTGACCTTCAAGTCCCCCAAGCCAGCACTTTTCTGTCCACATCGTGTTCCATTTCTTAGAGGCTGCTTTCTAGAGCGGTGCTCTCTTTCTCTCCCTCCCTCCCTCCCTTCCTTTGACCCCGCAGCCCTCCACCCTCTATTTCTAAATATCGGGCACTGCCAGCGTTTGACCCTAGGTCACTGCCCACCGAGCCGCTCATGCTGGAAATTGAAGAGTCTCCCCGTGGGGACTGCGTCGCTTCCAAGGCTTCCCGTGCGGCCTGTAGGCTAACAGACGCCACCCTTCGAGGTCTGGCCCTGGCCTGCCCTCGCGCTCAGGCTCACGGCTGTCACAGTCCACGTGACCGGGCGCTCAGGCGGCCGCGGGTGACGCACGCTGGAGAGACCCAGACCAGGACTCTCTGAGGCCTCGGAACCACACCCGTGGCACCTCTCAGTTCTATCACAGAACAGCGGTTACAAATCAGCAAACCTACAGAAGCACCTAATCCGTCGTCTTTATAGTATTTTCAAAGGGAGAGGCATGAGTAAAGAATGAGCCGTTTTCACTTTCCCGCCCCCACCCCACTGGCATAACCAAGGTGAGAAAAGTCATCCCAAGACTCTCTCTACAGCAATTTAAAAACACGCGCATATTGAGCTGTTCCGTTTTTTCCAGAGTGGGACAGCCTCGTGGCGATATTTTGGTGGTTTGTTTTGTTTGTGTTTTTGCAGTATGAGTCCCTTTGCAAGGATCCTCAAGGCAGCCCTTTGACTTAATACGGTGCCTCCTCTAATCGCTGATGGCGGCGGCCCACACGGCCACGCTCGCTGCACGTTAGGCTGTTTCCAGGCCCCGCCCCCGTGTCCTGTGAACACAGTGCCGACGTGACTCAGGGCGTCCGGGTCCCTGGTCTGCCACCCGGCGCACTAGAGGCGGCGCTGGCGTTGCCGCACAGCCGGGCTCGGCCCGGGCTTCCGCTGCAGGGCCCAGGCAGAGGGCCCCACCGTCCTCAGCGAGGTGTCCCGGTCCTGGCAGGCGGGGCGGCGGCGGGTGCGCGGCGATTTCCTCCCACACGTGAGCGATGCGGAGCACAGGTGGCCGCAGAGATGCCGGGGACGTGGGTCCTCTGATCGGAAAAGCACGTCTGATCCACAGCTCCTGTTCCTGTGGAGGGCGATGGGCCGCCTCCACCCCCACGTGGCAACATGCGAACTACGTGTGTGTGTGCGTGTTAGCTGCTCTTCCGCTTTTCCTGCTAGATCGTAAACACAGCGAGGACCGGTGTGTGCCTGTCTTATTACTAATACAACGTCTCCTGTGATACCCACCCTGTCGTGGGGTTTGATACAAAAGACTGAATGAAAGAAAAAAGGGCTGTTCTGGATGAAAAAATTAAGGTCCAGAGAAGTTCAACGCCTCAGCCACTCCGGGAGGCGGGGAGGCGGATGCCTCGGGTGGATGGGAGGACGGGGTCGCCGGCCAGCTGTCTTCCGACACCGACCTCCCGGGACTCCTCGCTGTTGTTGTAGATGATGACGCCCCACGGGAGACCGCAGGGCGGCTCTGAGAAGGGGTGGACGGAGGCCAGTTAGGAGACACACTCTCCTTTTCCTCAGTGCAGACGCACAGCTCCCTCCCTCCCTCCCTCCCCTCACCCACGGGCTCAGATGGCAGCTGGCGAGCCCCCCCTCCGCTCCCGGGCGAGGGCAGCAAGTGTGGGCGGGTCTGGAAGGTGCCCTGCTGCCCTCCGGCCACCTAGGAGGACGCAAGCACGCAGGCCGCAGGCGGTGAGTGAGGTTAGTGAACGCCTTCCTCACGCGCTCTGTGTAACCATCGGCTAAAGCTCCTGGTCAGCCAGGCGCGGGTGTTCGTTACTGTTAATAAAAACAGTTTAAGATTTTTCTCTAAAATGTTTTTGTTTTCTGCAAAATAACTAACCCTAAACCTGCTCTTCTTTGTTTCCCAAGATATCGAAGACTTTGAGACCAAAGCCAGGAGCACAGTGTCGGTCCGCGAAGGCCAAGGCGTGGTGCTGCTCTGCGGCCCGCCGCCGCACTCCGGAGGTACGGCGGGGCGGCGGGGCGCGGTCAGCGCGGCCGCATCTGGCCTCGAGCCGGCGGCGGCCCCTCACCGAATCGGGGGGCCCTTGAGACCCTTTCAGGTTCACCCTAGAGCACCTAAACAGTTCTCATCCGATTCTTTCTTTTAAAAAATTACTTAAGTGGCCATTCGACAAATCGGTCCTTGGGAAGAGGTGGCCTCCGCTGCCGAAGAGGGCGACCTGGCGCCTGTCGCCCCGCAGCACAGGGACGATTAATTCAGCCTCTTCAGGCTCAGTTTCCTCATCGGGGGAGTAGCTGCTTCCACTGACCCCCAAGTGGTAGGGTTGTTGGGAATGTTAAATGAGTTAATTATGCAAACTGTTGAGTGTGGCGAGCGGTGCTTCATTCATGCAGTGAAAGCCGGGATGGTTTCGTTTTTCGTATCGGGCGCCGTGGAGCAGCGAAGTCCACAGCGAATTCCACCAGTCCTTCTGGCAACAGCACACGAAGTGTTGGGAGCAGAGAGTCCCCCTGTCGACCGGAAGCAAATGCCGGACGGCACCACGTCAGAATGCCTTCCAGCAACGGAAAAATCAAGGCGCCAATGCCAGTCTCTGCGTGGGCGGTATTTCCAGGGACCTCCACTGCCCACCGCTCCTCTCTCCCTTGCGGTTACGTTTCGTCGAATCCCTCAAGGTTTGGTACGTCTGGTAGCGTGCCACGCAACAGTGAAGCTGGAAGAGGCAGGGCGAAAACGTCGCAGAGCCGCCTGGCTTGGCGCAGCCCCACGTTGCGGCCCTGCGCTGCGGTCAGCGTGACGCGAGCGGCAAGGACTCCCACCGTGCGGCTCTGATGTTTTCTGGGCGTTCGCCTTTTTAAATCCCGCCACTGCGTGGGGAGGGGAGCGATGCGGGTTCTCATTTTGCAGGTGGGGATGCGGTGGCGGAGGGAGGCCCAGGGCCTGAACTGAGGTCACCGAGCTGGTCGGTGGGGCCCGAGCGCCCACCCGCCAGGCCCGCTGGCCCCCAGAGCAGAGCGGTGCTGCCCGCCACGGCCTCCGTGGGGCTGACTTTCGCTCTGCAGTGGGAGGGCTTTGAAAACGGGACATTTGTTTAAAAATCAAATGAAAGCAACTTTCCCCCTTAATATTAAACCCAATCTTATTTAAGACTCTTTAAAAACTTAAAATGATTTTCTCATCCTTTTTTTACCCAAGCATCGTGAAATACAGATACAAAAGGAAAAGGAAATTAATTGGAGCTGAACAATGTTTGAATTCAGTGTTATTACGGAGCAGCACGGTGCTCCGCCCACCATGAGCGCTCCGGGACACCTGCGATGTTTTTAACGCCGTCCAGGGTGCAGTTTTATTCCAGAGCCTGCGAAAATCCAATGGCGCTCATGTTTCAACCACAGGAGAATTACTTCCAGCGTCACGATCTCAGGTGACAGGATATGAAAGTCACGTCTGCTGCTGCCACCTGCCCGTGTCATTTCAGGCCCAACATTGGCCAGAGTCTTGACCGAGTTGGGGATTAGGTTCGACTTCGTTCCCTCTAAAGAGGAAGAAGAGACATATAAACATTTGCAAATGGACATCACATTTTAAAGAGGTGGCCAGGTAGGACTCGCCTTCCCATCCCACCTCGTCACCTACTGACGCTGAAGCAGGTGCTGACGTTTCAAAGCCGACAAGGCCCCGCCTGGCTGGGGCCTCTCTGCTTCGGGCCAGGAGATCGAGCCCCAGCCGCGCACAAACGGCCTTAATGAAGACTTCATAACTGGGTCGCTAGTCCCCGCTGCGTGCAAGCTATGACAAGCTTGCCCAGTGCCAGGTTCTCCTGTGTCACACGTAAAGTCCTAGCCAGGTTCGAGGCGTGCCTGCCGGTGTTGACCCCACCCAGGTGTCCCAGGAAGTTCCACGCCGTGGGCTCCAGGACACTCCGTGGGCTCCCTCATCTCCTCAAAGCTCAGATTTGGAATCCGTCCCTTTGTTCTTTATAGCTCTCCCCGGTCAAAATGGGTGGGGGATATCGACAGGTGCTTTTTGATGCAATTATATAAACAGTCATCAATTAGAGGGAGAAAGTGTTAATAATAATAACTACCAAGTTACCGTGAGCCAACAATATAAAGCATTCCATTTATTTCCTCATTCCCACTATTCCAACAATTAAGAAGAAGAATTTTTAAATGAAGAAACGAAGATGCAGACAGAGTGAATCGTTTCTCAGTTGGTAAATAAAGGTGATTCCATCCCAGGGCTTTCGGACATCAAGCAACACCAGTGGGCGGAAGGCGCGCGGACCGCACCCCACGCCCCGCGGGAGCCCCAGGGGGCCCGTCCGCCCCCAGCCCCCAGGTCGGCCAAGGGCCTGGAGAGTGTCCTGAGGGGGCTCCGCTACAACAGCCCCTTCCTCCTCCTCTCCCTGCCTCGCCCTCTCGGGAAGGTGAGCTGTGCCAGGAAAGACTGCGAGCAAGACGGCAGATGTGTCAGCTGCACGGCCTTCAGACTGGACAGCTGGGTTAAGACGGGCCACCTCCAGGGACATAGAGATCTTTTCTGTCTTGGTAATTTGTCTTCAGTGGTGGGTTTAGGATGGGTGGATGGATAGATAGGTAGATAGATGGATGGGTGGATAGATAGGTAGGTAGGTGGATGGATGGATAGGTAGGTAGATGGATGGGTGGATAGATAGGTAGGTAGGTGGATGGATGGATAGATAGGTAGGTAGATGGATGGGTGGATAGATAGGTAGGTAGATGGATGGGTGGATAGATAGCTTCCCATCACTCTACAACAAAAGACTTCAAGCAGTGCCGCCTGTGGGAACAGCCCTGTGGGTCAGCAGCCCGGGGTCTGGCGTGGCTGAGCCCTGGGCTCAGGGTCTCACGAGAATAAGACCAGGTCGCGATGGCAGGGCGTCCTTTTCCCGGGAAGCCCAAGGAAGAACCCACGGCTGAGCTCATCTGACCGTCGGCTGAGTTCAGTCCCTTGCGGTTGTGGGACGAAGGTCCCCACCGCCTTGCTGGCTGGAGGCCAAGGGCCACTGGCATCTTCTCTCAGGTGCTGCCCACGTTTCTGCCACACAGCCCCGTCCATCCTCAAAGCCAGCAACAGGGACGCCTTGACACCACCTCCCTCTGAGGACAGGTCTCTCGGGCCAGGAAGAGCCCCATCCCGTGTTGGGGCTGGCTCATTGGATCAGGTCACGTTCTTCACGTCATCCGTGCCACCGAACTGAACCGCCTTGCCATGGACATGCTATTGGACCCCATTCACAAGCCGGCGGGGACAGGGGTCATTTTAGAGGTCTGTCAACCACAAGATTCCACAGCCGTGCGTCCTCTCCCCCGACTCCCCAAAGGCTCCGCACGCGCCTGCCTCAGAGGTTCCAGATGGCCCGCAGGGGTCAGCAGGCAGGAAGGAACAAACCTTGCCGTACAAATAACTTCAAACCTGCGGCGTGCAGAGCAGAGGCTCACGGGGAAGAGTGATGCAGCTCCGCACAGACGAGGGCGCCCCGGGCTCCGTGCTGACGGGGGCCAGGAAGGCCAAGGCGTCCGCGCCGTCTCGGGCAGCCTGGCGCGGGGGCCTTCCCTGGGCGCCTGCCACGCCGTCCAGTAACAAGGGGGAGACCCTATGAAATCGAGGTTGTCCGAACACCCTGCATTCTTCACGCTCTCCCTCCAACGTATTCACAGAAAGACCCGCAAAACAAATCTTCATGAGACAGCCCTACCAAACACATTTCAGTGTGTTTTATTTTAAAAAATAAATAAAACAGGGGAGTAAGAAAAATGATCAGCTAGGCTGAATCCTATTGATTTCCCTGGCAAAGGCTCCGGGACCGACACACAAGGATAAGCCCCGGCTGGGGTGGCTCAGTGCACTGAGCGCCGGCCTGCGAACCAAGGGTCGCCAGTTTGATCCCCAGACGGGGCACAGGCCTGGGTTGTGGGCCAGGTCCCCAGTAGGGGGAGCGCAAGAGGCAACCACACTTGGACGTTTCCCTCTCTCCTTCCCTTCCCTTCTGTCTAGAAGTGAGTAAATATCATCTTTAAAAAAAATTAAGAATAAAGATGTGACGACAGAGTTCCCCACGAGCGCTTGGCCACGACCCAGGGGTGTAGAGCCAGGCGGGAGTCAGGCAGACAGGTGCTGGCACCTGGACGCCTCTCCTTCGAAGAGACTGGGTCTCCCTCTGGAGGTGACAGCTGATGCGGGGGGCCACCTTCTACAAAGGGGGTGTGTGCCACAGATAAAGGTCCCCGGGGAGAGGCACCGTCGGCAAAAAGCGAAGGAGTCTCCGGGCGGTAACACCAGCCGGCACCCTGGCCCAGACTGCGTATCGCCTGGAAGTGCGGCATTTGGAAATAAAGCAGGAGCCATGCGGTCTGCCCGCGGAGAGGCCCGTGCACACTTCCTCCGTGCAATTTCCTTCTCTGGGACAAACTCCGTGAATGTGACCCAATTGTTGCCAGGAGGGCCTGGCTGCGTCTCACTTCACCCTCCTGAAAACCGCAGCCCCAGCCTGTTTCAGGGACACACCCGCTCTCCTGGCAGGTCCGTGGGAGAGGCGGAGGGCGGCCACGCACATGGGGCCAAAGCCCTCCCTTCCCCGGGGGACGTCACTGCCCTCTGTCCAGACTCTCGGCCCCGGGGGTCTATGCCCTCCCTCGCCTCGCAGGCCACCCGACGGTCCCTTCTACTGCCGGCAGACCTGCCGCTCTTCACCTGGGGACCCGGCCTGGGAAGATGCCCTTCTCCCTGCGAGCCTCTGGCCTTCAGCTCTAAGTCAGCTCAATGAAGACGTCTTCTCTCCTCCACTACGGCTCTGGAGGATTCTCCGGTCGTTCTCCTACATGGGGGTCCACGTGACAGAAGGAGGTGGTATGACATTCCCTTTCCCCGTTCGCTGCTGGGAGGGCCACCGAGCCCGGAGCGGCGCGCGCTGTTAAGTGGCCAGGTGTCCCTGCTGGGCCCTCCCTCGGCTGCTGAGCCCCGTGCACAGAGATTC